TAGTGATTTATTTAATTTATTTATTAATAACGTACATAATACCTATAAATATAATTATTTGAACTTAAAACTTCCTATTTATCACTATTGTCATTTGATACGTTCACAAAATGAGACTTAAGTCTTCCCATTCTTCAGCATCAGATAGTGTTGACTGCTTATTTTTCAGCATTGGCGTTAGGTTGTCTTTAGCTTGCTAGAAATGTTTGGGTAAATTCAACATTTAGGCACTTAATTATTACATTAGTTTTATTTTTGTCATTTAATTATTATTTTTTAAATTATTACTGATATTACATTTTGATTTTACTTAAGTTTCGCCGTTAAAAGATTAATGGTGATGTTGATACTAGGGATGCAAATGATCTTGAGTCGACTCAACTCGAAAACTCTGAAATGAAACTCGATTCGGCTCGAAAACTCGTAAGCTTACAATTTTCAAGCTCGACTCGAACTCTAAATCATGAACTGAATCTCGTAAAAAGCTAAAAAAAATATCAAAATGAAAAAAAATCTTAAACTTAACTCGATTAAAGCCTCAAATTTAAACTCAAATTTGAACTTTAGATGCATTAAAATCTTATATTGCATTTAAAAAAAAATCAACACATAAATGCTAATATTATAACTATTTTATTTTAAAAATAAATAAATTTTAATATATTATATTTTCAAGTTGCTCGCGAGCTTTTAGAGTTGAGTATCAAGTAGTTCGTTTTGGCTCGTTAAGAACTCGAGTCGAGCTTGAGTTTAAGTCGAGTCTATCTGAATCGAGTATTTATCAAGCTTTGACAGAGTCGATCTCTAGTAGCTCACGATCTGTCTCGTCCGGTTTATAGCCCTAACATATACATACTACAAATGTAACAACTAAAACCCAAAATCCCTAAAGAAAACAACATTTTAACCACTAAAATTACTTAATGGGTTGGATATCAAACTTTTTGAATACACAAATTTGTGATAGATACTATTTGTCCAAGGCTCCGATCAGATGGCCAGCAGCAGCAACAATTAGTTTAAAAATAACATTACATAAAATATTAAGATCGAGATGAAGATATAAAATTATAGAAAGAAATCCGCTCCTCCTGTCACTTGCTAAAACAAAACCCCATAAACAGATATGTTCAGTTCATATGTGGTAAGGATACCTTTTTAATTTTGGTTTTTTTGGTGAATCATCAGCACAGGCACCCTGGTCCCTACTCCCTACCCTAAAACAGGATAAATTATTTGAGAATCTCGATTCACCACGTCATTAATAGTTTAATGAATGAGAGTGATCAATTTTAAAATTATTTTCAAATAACCATTTACTTCTTATTTACATGTAAGAAAGAAATGAAGATTTACCTTAAAAAATAAAATGAACAAATATTATTAATTGAGACAAAAAAAAACGTGATAAGTCAAGTCCATCTAATATTTTTTTCCTGCAACAGAGACGCTTTAATCTTTGTATAGGGCTTTGCATTTGTGGTTAACCTTACTGATTCCACCATTTCCAAATTTGGAGCTTCAAGGAAACTGCGGTGACGCATTTTTATTCGTCACTGTTACTGTTTATATATATTTAGGCCATATGAACCATATGGGTTTGTCATGAAATTTTATGTTACAAGTTTCGGGAAACAATAGGCAGCAAACAAGCTAGATAGCCATAAATGCATCAGTAATAGTCCTCCCTCCAGAAATTCTTAATTCCCAGTTTCTGAATTCTGAATAATTTCCTATCTCATGGCTAATGGAGCTTTGACGGTGGAAATCGTAGGTCGATACTGTGTGTCTCCACCGCCAAATACAGTCCCACCGACCTCTCTTCCCTTAACATTTTTTGACATTCCATGGCTGTTTTTCTCCCCAACGCAGCCTCTCTTCTTCTTCGACTACCCTTTCCCTTCTTCCCACTTTCTATCCACCGCTCTTCCGCAGCTCATTCACTCCCTTTCCCTCACTCTCCAACGCTTTTCCCCTTTAGCCGCCTCCCTCCTGTGCCCGCCCCACTCTTCCACGCCCCTCATCGTTTACAAAAAATCCGACTTCGTCTCCTTGCTCGTCGCTCAATCCAACGCTGATTTCTTCCACTTGTCCTCCAACCATCAGCGCTCCGTCAACGATTTTTACCCTCTGCTCCCTCCTATTCCGAGCAAGGAGGAAGGGGGAATCCCATTGCTTGCAGCACAAGTCACCGTTTTCTCCAAAGCTGGTATCTGTATTGGGTTTGCATATCACAACGTGGTTGCCGATGGGAGGACTTTCAACGGCTTCATCAAGACATGGGCATCACTTTTCAAAGACCCTTCTTCTTCCTCATCTCCACTTCCCTTCTACGATAGAAGTGTGATAAAAGATTGTTACGGGCTGCATTCCATTTTCTTGAACCATTGGAGCAGCAGCAGAACATCTTCCCAACGCACGGTCATAGGCGTTTCGGACTCGGACTCAGTGTCAGCCATGGTTAGAGCCACTTTCCTTATGCGCCCTGCCGATATGGAGAAGATCAAACTGGATTATTTTTCGATGCAAGGCGAAGAATATGGCTCAGCCTCCACGCTTATCACCTTCTAATCTAACATGCGCTTTTGTGTGGGTGTTTGATAAAATCCCATGAGAGAGTTAACGGGAAGTTAACGAGTAAGAACCCGAGTTACTTCGGCTTCAATGCGGGTGGTTTAACCCGGTTGGACTACCCGATCCCGACTACTTATTTCGGTAACTGCATCGGGTTCGCTCGAACTACGGCAACCCAGGGAGAGCTCTGTGGGAGGATGGTATAATCGCCGCAGCAAACGCGGTCGGAAGCAAAGTCAAGGAGTTGGATGAAGCATTCCTGGACGGGGCAGAGGATTGGATATCGGATTGGGCGGTGTTTCATGGACCGGGTTCGGAGCCCCATGTGATGGTTTCCGGGTCACCGAAACTGGATTCATACGAGACTGATTTCGGGTGGGGGAGGGCAAGGAAAATAGAGGAAATCTCTATCGATAGTGCCAAAGGTAATGCAGTTTCGTTCACCGAAAGCAGAGACGTGAAGGGCGGCATCGAGGTGGGATTAGCATTGCCTAAGGCCAAAATGGATGCTTTCGCATGTTTCTTCAATCAATTATCGCACGATTAAGCTGTTTAGTTTCTTCAATCGGCATGTGTCGTATATGTATTGTAGGGGACAGGGTACTCTTGAGTTGTTGCACTCTGTCCGTATTTTTATTTGTCTTTTGTGTTCAAAAAGGCCGTATCCAATTGTATGGCTACCCTGCGTGCTTCCTACTTGGCCGTGGAAATTAAATACCAACTTCAGCCTTCGGGCTCGGCTCCACCAAATTTGTACACCGGAAAGGAGGGAAATAGTAGAGGTGCTCATTGATCATTATTCAATGCCCTAATTAAACGATAAATAAACTACGGGATTCAGTTAGCCTAATAGATTAAGAGCCCAACTTGACTATTTATAATAAATATACTAACACGAATTAATTTACCTCAGTGATTAAAGGAATCATTGTTGTTCTTAGAGCTCACAGGTTCGAGCACCAACAACTATATCATGGTGATTAAACGTTTATTGTCAAATAAATAATATTTAGAATAGATATTGATTTATATCACCTAAAATAGACTATTGACCTAAAATTATTCATCATGTTTTATAATTTTCTGAATTTCTTGAAGTCGAAAATTTTGGCAATAAACAGTTGAAGCTCTTCGAACTCATCTTGCATTTCTCTTCTTTCTTCTTTTCTTTACATTATTCTTTAATTTGTATTTTTTTTAACTTTCAAAAGGTTTTTTTTAAAAAAAGAACTTTTAAAAGTTACTTACTGTTTGATTTACCTTTTCTCTTCTTCATTTTTTCTCTTCCTCTTCATTTTCTTATCTTCTTCTTCATGCTTCTCCTTTATCTCTTTCTCCTTCTCCATCAACTTGAGCTTTAATGCATATTGCTTCTCACGAACAATAGTTATACGCCTTAAATAAAATGATGACTAAGTGATTATGAGTTGAGCAGTTATTGAGCTGTTCGAACTTGATACAACCAAAATTCGATTAATACACGATTTTGGTTATCTCGACTCACACTTGAACTCAATTAGAGACCTTAACGAGTAGTCGAGCAAAGTTCAACTAGGTTCGATGAGTTCACGAACAATTCATTAATTTTTTAATAACTTCCTTAAAAATTATTTCATTCAAAAAGATCTAAATAATAATTACTAATTTACTAATAAATAATAAGAAAGATGATAAATTACTAATTAACGATTACTACTAATTTATTATTAATATATCAATTTACTAGTTTGGTGTATTTATGGATTGTTACTTTAGACTTCGAAATTATTTCATACACACTTCTGATTTTAGTTAAATTATTAATTTATGTTTATATTAACTCTATATAGTTTACCTATAGTTAAAAAAATAAGATAAAAATTCTGATGAACTTAATGAATAACGAGTCAAGTCAAATTTCAACATATTTAACAAGCAACGAATCTAGTCAAATAATAAATTTTTTTAACGAGTACGAATCGAACAATACCCTACTCTGGTTTGGATTGCTCATTAGTAATGATGACCATATGCAAAGTGGAAACACATTACCCAATTGAAAATAAAGATCTAGCTAATGCCTATAGATTATATGATCAACACCAATAATTATTTTATATCATTCCTCACTCAACAAAACAATCAAATCCAATCCAACATTCTCAACAGTCAACAACAACAATGTTGTGAACAAACAACCAGTTATACGACTAGTAGACAATAATTAAAAACGAACTACTTCGAAGTGGTTGTTTTTACAAGGTGAATGGTTGTATGAAGTCATATGGTTCAAATGGTGGCCTTCGAAATGGCATATTTTTCCTTTTAGCATGTCCTTGTTTACTATATGTCACCCAAATGTGATTGAAGATTGTCTGTACCATTTCAGCCCTACATCGTCAGTGTTCTCTTCTTGCTGTTATATCATTTTTACTGTGATGTTATGCATTTGTAGCATGCGTATCGAGATGGTCAGTTGGAGGAAGTGGCGTTGCATCGTCTCGGAGAAGATGGGCAGACCATCATAACTAAAAATATTAGGTATTCTCTGTGCTAGTGGAACTGAAGCAATATCTACTCTCATTTGTTAGTAGTTTTCTCTTTCCATTCTTGCTTACCAAATTGAAGTTTTTTTTTGCAGGTTGTCAGACATTCTTAGTGACTATGCACATTAGGTGAATGTTCACAACATTTACTAGAGCGTGAGTTCCTCCTTTAGTCTGTTTATTGTTTTAGGTAGACGACTATGTATCGATCGTTCTAATGCAGTTATCATCTGATTGACAATTGCAAATTCCCCAGTTTTGCTCCAATACTGAAGTGTATATCTCCGAGATGTTTCGATCTTATTCCAAAATACTTACTGTGCATGTAGGATATCTAAATAATGCAAGGACCTATATGCAGCTTTCTTCAGTTTTTACTGTTGCTCTCCATATCAAAAGGTGTGAATCATCGGCCAATCAATCTCTGGGGGGGGGGGGTACACAAGAGGTAGCTTTATGTTGTAATCGTACGTCTCGAGTCGGTAAAACATCGATTTTTTTTCACAAGTGCAGGATTGTTGATGAGAGAAACCAAGCTTGGAATCATTGGGGTGTGCGGGGCTATGCAATATAAAAGTGCAATCTTATAATCATGGATGGATAAATATAATATATGTTGAAAGGCAAGGAATGGGAATGGAATGGGCATTGGTGATGTGAAAAATGCTGCATGCTTCTCTTGATCAATCGGGACGCTTGAAGCTGTATATCGGGTTTCGTCTTGTCTCTCCGACAGAGTTATGAAGATGAAAAGTGCAGAGGGCAGCAGCAGTGCTTTGATCCTGTATTTGTTATGTGGCGAATATTGTGTACGCATTGTATTTTGGGTATGAATTCATACAAGCTCCCAATACCTAATACTATGACTGTTCTAAATCAATAAAATAAATCTACTGTTTTTATAAAAAAAAAATCCACTGATGTTGGTGATGAAACGTATTTAATTTCCACGGGACATTGCCAGGTAGAGCAAACAGGACATCCATACAATCAAACACAACGTGTTCTAAACACAACCACAAATAATGTACCCACCACACAATGCAATGATTAATGCACTTGTTTCTCGTAGACGCAGACAGGCTCTGTCTGTTATGGTACAGGACAGAACATATCATGCTGGGATTAAAGAGCTTAATGGTGGGTTTAGTGAGGCAATTCGGAGAAGAATGATGCAAAGACATCCATTTTGGTCTTGGGCAATGCTAATCCCACCTCGATGCCGCCCTTCACATCTCTGCTTTCAGTGAATGAAACTGCATTGCCTTTGGCATTATCAATGGAGATCTCCTCTATTTTCCTTGCCCTTCCCCAACCAAAGTCAGTCTCGTACAAATCCAGTTTCGGTGACCCGAAAATCATCATATGGGGCTCCGAACCCGATCCGTAAAACACCTCCCTATCCGATATCCAGTTTTCCGCATCGTCCAAAAGTTCTTCATCCAGATCCTTGACTTTGTTTCCGACGGCATTTGACGCCACGATGATCCCATCCTCCCCGCAGAGCTCACTCTGAGTTGCCATAGTTCGAGCAAACCCGATGCAGTTACCGAAATAAGTAGTCGGGATCGGGTAGCCCAACCGGGTTAAACCACCCGCATTGAACCCGAAGTAACTCGGGTTCTTACCCGTTAACTTCCCATTAACTTTCTCGTCGGACTTTATCAAACACACCCACACAAAAGCGCCCGTAAGGTTATAGGGTGATAAACGTGGAGGCTGAACCATGTTCTTCGCCTTGCATCGAACAATAATCCAGTGTTTGATCTTCTCCATATCGGCAGGACGCATAAGGAAAGTGGCTCTAACCATGTCCGACACCGAGTCCGATTCAGACTCCGAGTCTGAGACGCCTATGACCATGCGTTGGGAAGATGTTCTGCTGCTGCTCCAATGGTTCAAGAAAATAGACTGCAACCCGTAACTATCTTTTATCACACTTCTATCGTAGAAGGGAAGTGGAGACGAGGAAGAAGAAGGGTGTTTTAAAAGTGACGCCCATGTCTTGATGAAGCTGTTGAAAGTCCTCCCATCGGCAACCACGTTGTGATATGCAAACCCAATACAAACACCAGCTTTAGAGAAAATGGTGACTTGTGCCGCAAGCAATGGGATTCCCTCTTCCTCCTTGCTCGGCAAAGGAGGGAGCAGAGGGTAAAACTCGTTGACGGAGCGCTGATGGTTGGAGGACAAGTGGAAGAAATCAGCGTCGGATTGTGCGACAAGCAAGGAGACGAAGTCGGGTTTTTTGTAAACGATGAGGGGCGGGCACACAAGGGAGGCGGCTAAGGGAAAAGCGTTGGAGAGTGAGGGAAAGGGAGTGAATGAGCGGCGGAAGAGCGGTGGATAGAAAGTGGGAAGAAGGGAAAGGGTAGTCGAAGAAGAAGAGAGGCTGCGTTGGGGAGAAAAAAAGCCATGGAATGTCAAAAAATGTTAAAGGAAGAGAGGTTGGTGGGACTGTATTTGGCGGTGGAGACACACAGTATCGACCTACGATTTCCACCGTCAAAGCTCCTTTAGCCATGGATTGTGGTTGAACTGGTGATGACCATCAATCATGGGCTATTCAGCTTATAATATATAAAGTCATGGTATTTATGAATCACTTCATTTTCCTTCGAGCTGCAAATTAGAAAGCAGTTGTTAGGATTTTGCGGTGGAAAAATAACTAAGTAATATTAACATAAAATAAAATATATAAAAGAGATAGATTTAACGAAATTAAATCTTATTCATTTATACAATAAGATGAATAATTCATTAAAAATATAAAAAATACAAAAATATAAAGATATTATATTACATGTATCTAAAAAAATCAATAAAAAAATCTTAAAAAGTATTGTGTTTTTCAAAATTATGCTTGGTGTTTTTTTTTTATTTTTAATTATATTTATTTATTATTATAATGATAGTGGTGGCCGTCCTGCTGCTGGTGGGCATATGTTATTTTTAATGGCAATTTGACATAGGTCATCAATAGTGCTGGCTATCATACGTGTGAACCAATGGACAAAATTCTTCTGTCCCTTCCTGTGCGTTTGGAGTATATTTTGACGTCAGTGTGAAAGTCAGAAAAAAAAATAGGGTAAACTACACAGTTGGTCACTAATGTTTGAGATAATTTTCATTTTTCATAATTAATATTTCAAAAATTACAAATAAATTATTAATGTTATCGATTGATAATAAAATGATCACTCACCGTTACGTTAAGAGACGTGACGGAAAACATACATAAGACCACCTATTTGACTCCCCATATATTTGATAAGATCCTTTATTCCTCTCCAACGTCACACCACCACAACTCCCCCTCCTTCAACCTCAGTCTCTCCCTTCTCTTCTCTCCTAAAACCCCACCTCCTCATCGCTTTATTTACATGCATGTTTAGCTTCTCCACTTCCTCTATTGTTAACCTCAAGTCTCTATAATACCTTCCGCCATTACTGGTCTCGAGAAGTTCAAACTTAATCCTACTCCAACCATTTTTACCTTCATTATTCCAACCGAATCTTTCACTGATCTTCAATAATAATGAGACCGAAATCTCATCAATCCCGTTTCACCTTGTTCTTGTTCAAAACATTCTCAGCGACTCCCACCTTATTTTATCCTGATAAATTGGGTCTTCGAGCACTTGATCAGCCAGCTTTGCCAATCGTAATGATTTCTAACTTTCAAAACTTCCTCAGAGATCCTATTATAAGAGATATTTAACATTATCGGGGATGGGATTTTCAACGGCGACATGGATCTATGGAAATACTAGAGGAAAACAGCGCAAGGGTTCATTAGACATCTATTTTTCCACTGGTTATTGTCGGTGGCTACTCGAACCAAGTGGGAAAATGGGTTAATTTCTGTTCTCGAAAACATCACTAAATGGAGCCCGGTGGTCGACTTGGAATATGTTTTCCAAAGGTTTACATTTGATTTCAAGTGCATCTTAGTTATCGGCAACAACCCCGAATACCACTCCATCGACTTCTCTGAAGTCCGTTTTCTCCATGGCCCTGGATGATGTCTGAAAAGCTTTATTTTATCGACATGTGAGGCCTCAAAGCTTCATCATGTTGCAAAAATGGTTGAACATCAGGCAAGAGAATACATTTAGAAAAGCATGGCAAATTCTTGATGATGAATAGCAAAATATATAAGCCCAAAAAGGAAATAACTTGAACTTGATAGAGTTAGCTAAGGACACAACAAGCTCGGCTCTCACTTGGTTTATTTGGCTGGTTTCAAGGCATCCCGAAGTGTAAAACAAGATCATTGAAGAGCTTCAATAACAAATGTCAGCGAAAGAACCACTTCCCTTTTTGGATGATGAATATGTTTGTGAATATATGTTTCTCTGTTACTAAAGCTAGGATCTATAATCATAAAGGTAAAGATAACATTTTAAAGATTATATAATCTGAGTCAAAAACTCGTTCATTATATTATGGTAAGTTATTGAAATGCCACGAGCATTGACAACATGGTAAGTAATAACAATGTGATTACTTATTGCTTATATTTACCTTATCAAATCTCGAATATAATTGGCATGTAATAGAGTATTCAGAGACAAAATTTTTCGTATGTAAGGTACATACAACACCTTTTTACAGCTCGAGTTCTTTTCCAGAATTCATCTTTAAAACCATATTACCTTTCTCTTTGATTTTAGAAGTCATGACATTACTCATGTAGAGCTTCTCCCATTATCGCAAGTATTAATTCAGAAAAGAGTCATTGTCGCAATAAATATATTATAAATTAAATATAAAAATAAATTTCAGCTGCATTTTAGTAATTAAATATTAAAAAAAATGTATTCACAGTACAATAAAAAGGGTAAAGTGCACAAATGATCCATCGATTATAAGATATTGCTCTATTAAGTCCCTCAACTATTAAAAGTTACAAAATGATCCTTCGACTATGGAGTGATGCTTTGTTGTGTCCCTCGACTATTAAAAGTTACAAAATGGTCAACTGACTGTCCATTATGTTCCAAACTCGTCCTTTTTGTTAAAAAAATTGAGGATATCCTGAGCTGAACGTTAACCTGTTAAATGTGATATGATAATATCTGATCCTATAATCTCAAACGACTATCATATAATCATCATATTAACGTCCAACTTAGCAACTATCAAATTTTTAACGTAAAAGGACGAATTTGAAACATAATAAATAGTTGGGTGACCATTTTATAAATTTTAATAGTCAATTGACTTAACAAAGCAACATACTATAGTTGGAGGGTCATTTTATAACTTTTAACAGTTGAGGGACTTAATAAAATATTATCTTATAATCGAGGAACCATTTGTATACTTTACCCTAAAAAATTACTAATACTTTTAACAAACATGGCATCAATTAAAAAAGTATTAAGGGACTGAAATTGGGAAGGGCTCTGATCCAATGAAACCGTTAATCGCACTGAATTATGGGTTCGCACATAGGGCCTGAGCTGGGCAGGGCCTCCTCCCTTTTTTTTCTTCAATAGGGCAAACAAGTAAATTATTTAGGAAAATAAGAAAAATAGAAGTTTATTTTGAGATTTACGATATTTTATACAGTGTTCATGAAACTCATTACGACGAGATGATGAGTTACAATAAAAAATATTTTTTATTAAAATTTATC